AATAGGGGGAACGGTAATTAATGGACTAGGGATAATTCACGAATGGTAAATCGTATGATAATAGTCTATGGGTCAAAATGAAGCTTATAATAAGAGGGATACGAATATGAATATTTTAGTCATTTAAAAATTATACAATAGGAAATATACATATCACATTGGTTCATAAATAGTTCTCAAAGTTACCATACATAAATCTTCACGGGATATAACACTACATATTATACTCAGATCCATACTTACTTAATTACACCCGTTACCTCTCATGGAGGAGTTTAGGTCATCCACTAACATTTTTCACCGAACTCTATTCTGGGCAAATCAAATCTATACACATATTTAAATTTAAATTTTATAACAATAAAAAGAAGACAGTATATGTGTGAAATTCACATTAAAAATAACTACACTATTTCATTCAGACTAGATTGGCGAGAGAAAGGGAGCGAGAGAAAGATTGTTGTCATTTTAATTGTGATCTTTGATCATTTTATAAATAGAATATTTTCTATTCATTCGACATTTAACTAATTGTAAAACTATAAGCAAAGATGGATTGTGGCTAGCAGTGGAATCCAGGACGCGCGTTTCGCCCCATTTTGGACTCGTCAGCCAGATGTACCTGCATCTCAGAGTTGATGTTCACTCTGTGACTCGAACCCAGTGCTGTTCGCTTCAAACTCCATCGCGTTATCCATCTTTGCTTATAATGGTTGTGAATTAAGGCTGTATCGAGGCAATGCGCACAGAGTGCACATATGCCAATTAGACACTGACCAGTTGCAGTCCTAAGCATCAATGGTAAGATTCAAACAAACAATATTAAGTGAATTTAATTGTAAAACTATTCGTTGAGATTTCAATAAAAATTCTTATGATACAGTTGTATGATATTATAATGTTAAAGTGTTATATAAATCTGTAAATTTTTGGTTTATAATAACTGTTACTACTCATAATATAAATTAGTAGGAGAGAGATATAATATTGTTTGCTTGAATCTTCCCATTGATGTTTTAGGACTGCAACTGGTCAGTCTCTAATTGGCATATGTGCATACTGTGCGTATTGCCTCGATATAGCCTAAATTCACAAGCATGGTAAGCAAAGATCGATAGTGACTGGCAGTGGAATCCAGGACGTGCGTTTCATCAATGGGAAGATTCAAACAAACAATACTATGTGAATTTAAACTTCACTCCATTGCACAAGCAAGTGATTATCAGGACTCAGTGATCGAGTGGATAACGCGATGGCGTTTGAAGCGAAAGGTACTGGGTTCGAGTTGTGGAGTGAACATGAACTCTGAGATGCAGGTACATCTAGCTGATGAGTCCCAAATAGGAAGAAAGGCGAGTCAAACTGGATTCCACTGCTAGCCGCTATCGATCTTTGCTTACCACGAGAAAGAGATAGGGTATGGTGGTATATGCGTCAATGTATGATAAAATGGTGTAGCAAATATAGATAAACAACTAAATATTTTTATAATAGTCAATAACAAAACTTTCAGAGATTAATTACAGTTGTGTTACTACTGTAAACTAGGTAGTATGTTTGCGTTTTTCATATAACTACTTTCCCATACTTTCCAAGGTCACTAGTAATCGTAATATGTTAATAGTAGTTTCTGTAAAAATTATGTCTTTCTGAGCATCAAGTCTTTTATGATTCTCTGAATTCTTCCTAACTTCTTTTGTGGTGAAAATTATTATTATTGATGTTTTTTGTCGTTCATCCGGCTAATTGGTTTTTTAACTGTCAAATTTTGTATTAGAGGAATATCTAAATCAATTCCTGGTTGAGAATTACCATAGACTGCTACATCAAAACTTGAAACTTTTCAATAACGTTTTTTTATATCCAGTGGTTTGTTTGAGACTAGAAGCAGACGATTCCTCTTATCAGGATAGGGAATTGCGAAGATCATCTATAACTTTTGATATCCCAAACAAAACCGAGTCAACAAACCATAGAAAGACAGAAGGCATTAGATGACTGTTTCGTTCTAGTATGGAATTCCACATCAGTGAGCGTTCATAACCTCACAAGAGGTCGAACTCAGGACTATCGGCCTGATAGTAAACGTTTAACCTCTAAACTACTGAACCTAGAACTAATGGCGTATATATCTAATTCCGACAAATCCATGATTAATTTTCAAAAATCATTCGGGAATTCTAATCAGAAGTCGTGATCAGTGGAGTTTAGATGTTACAAGAGTGATCGCTCACTATTATGAATTATTTGTAGTTAGACTTATATATCATCTAATACTTGCTTATTGGTTTAAAGGTTAACCATTTGGGCACAAAGTCAGCAGTGACAGTTAGGTCATATATGTTTACTACTGAGAAAACCCATAATAGAATGAAATAGCTATTTAGTGCTTTCACGTTTTCCATGGTCAACTTACGTGAATTGGTTTAGGATATCGATAACATTTCTCTTTTTGTTGACTACTTTCCCTATCATCTGATATTAGTTGATACGTGTACTTTAACTCAATTACTCTATCATTACACTGGCAAATAATAAAATATTTTACATAAAAATGAGACAATTTAAATCGTTTCTAACAATAAAAGATTCCTTTCTTTTCCCTTAGTTACTGCGTTACTTATAATAGGGGATGGTGGTGGTATAGAAATGATCATTAAATCGAATTCATTTAAAACTTAACAAATTCCTAATCAAATTTGCATTAATTAAATAATTTTTTTCTTTTTTTAAAGCAAACAGTAAAACTATAATAATTTACGTGCCTATTTGTTTCATTTAAATTTCCTGTAAAACTATTCATTTTATTGATCCAATTGAATGATGATACCGACAAAATGAAGAAATAATTCATGTATCCATCCATTCATGTATGTTAAATAGACAATAGTCTTTTTAATTCTATTAATCAAAAGTTTCATAGGGAGAATATGTATATGTATCTAAATAGCTATTATGTAACTATGCAAAACGTTTCTTATATATTATAAATGTCTATTCATTATTACCACCCAAGTACCTGTTGCTATTCGTTTGTTCTTTATTAATAACAAGAAGATTACATTATCTATATATAAAGTATGCACAATCTTATATGGCTATTTAAAGAAGAATGAAAACCCCTTTAAAACATGGTAAATTTTAATCATTGCTGAGGTGTCCCATAATAGGACGAAACGGTCATCCAGTGCTTCCAGGTTTTCCATTGTGGTCTAGCTTCAATAGACTGTATTGAATCTATTTGAATTATAAGTATTAAAATATATGAACTTCTTGTTAATGGATTATCAGTGATTACTTATAAGCAAATGCAAACATTTGAAAACATTGTTAACTCTAGTCATATACAAACATGAGAATAATCGCCCAAAATCATTTATAAGGTGGAAAGAATTGGTTCAAAGAAAGTAAAGGTGAAGAATTGGTCCATAAATTAACATATAACAATTCATTTTTTAGTACAAAACAGCCATGTTCAATCCATTATTCTGTCATTGTATTAGCACACCTAATATTATAAATAAAAAGTAATAATTCATTTTGTATTGTTTGTTTGTATCTTCCCATTGATGTTTAGGACTGTAATTGATCAGTCTGTTATTTGTATGTGTTCATCTTGTGTGAATTGCCACGATATTGTCTTAATTCACAAGCATTATAAGTAAGGATGAGTGATGGCCAGTAGTAGTAGGGTCCAGGACGCACGTTTCGTTCTATTTGAGACTCGTCAACTTGATGTACCTGCATTCCAGGACTCGAACTCAAATAGGATGAAACATGTGTCCTAAATTCTTGTGCTAACCATCATCTATCTTTGCTCATAAGGAAGTACTAATTATTATTTCACTCTTTACCTTCTTCTTCTTTGTAAAGTAGATAGTTGTATCTTGCATTTGTTATGAAAACTATCATTTCTTAATACTTTTGAATCTAGTTTTCAGATAATTTTTGATGACTATGCTAAATATTTCGACATCCATTGTATTCAGTATTTAGAAAACTTTTAATAACTTGAATTATTCTCAAACAACATGCTACGATTTAATAATTGGTGATGTTTAATACATTAAATCTTTTGATAATTTTGATATTTTACTATAGACTACTACATGTGAAAATATGACCTCTAAACACGATTTGACAACTTAATAAAATGAGAAGGATGTTCGCTAATAGGGGAATCCAGGACATGCGTTTTGTTTTGTTTGGGACTCTTAAGCTGAATGTACCTGAATCTAGGATTTGTTGTTCATTCCGGGACCAAAAACTAGTAACGTTCACTTCGAACGTCATCATGTTATTCATTTAGCCGCTGATTTCTACAACCGAGTGATTTTTAGTTCATATAGATTTATCGCTTGTGTTATCCCGTTCACGTTATTGATTTTGAATGGTCAGTATCTCTGGGTTTATGTGGATTGTGTGAGTATTGCCTAGATATTGTCAATGAATCAAGTGAAAATCAATTGTAGGATGCTGGGATATTTGGCTGAGCAGTCTCGAATAGGTTCCCTTGCTAGTCATATCAGTCAGTAAATATTTAGTTCTATTATCATCTAAATTAAATATCAGACTGTGATTATAAATGTGATATGAATAATTTGGTTCACCGAAATGCACCAAAAATGTAAAGTTAAATAGATCAATTCGGATTTATCAAGCGGAATACAGTTTAAATTTTGTGAAATATTCTCATCATTATGATATACTGATATAACCTTAGAGCTTAAGTATTTTCCAACAACACTGTAAGTTCTTTATATGATTCTTAGTGGGAACATGAATATTCACTACTGACGAGTCACATATTGGGACGAAACATTCTGGATTTTCACTAATTATCTAAGATCAATTTCAACTATGAATAATGTGAATTGACCATAAAGAAAAATATATCCACTTAATAATACTTATCATTGGCTAGTTAAACTAACCAATAAAAACATTAATTTCATTGTTAAAATTGTAATAATTTCCCAATTGGATAGAAATAGACAAAAGGTGATTTATTCATGTAATCTATATTATTTAATAAAGAGATGAACGAATATTACTAATAGTAATAATAATAATAATAATAAACATAGGGTTAGTTACAAGGAATCTCATTGTACACTTACACTATTCATGAGCGTCGGTCAATTGCACACATACATACAGAGATATTGATATTTGAACAGGAAAACACAATCATACATTATACTTAATTAAATAATAAGGAAAATGCCCAGTTGTACAACAGTTCACATTTATCAAAGTTACTTGGATTGAATCTTTGTGTTTTAATATTGTTTGTAAATAAACTTTAAAAAAAAAAGGAAAAGCAGAAACATTCTAGTCCAGATTTATTTTATGATAATAATAATATTTGACTTTTGTAAACAGTATAGCTGGAAATAGTTCATTTACTTTCAGTCTATTATACATATACGATTATTTACTTACTTATTTACTTACGCCTGTTAGCCCTCGTGGAGGAGCATATGCCGCTCATCAGCAACGTATACAATTGCTTTTTTGGAATATTCAACTTTATTTGTATATAGTACATACCTATTACAAGTAAATAAACACACACACACACACATTTATATATATTGCATGGGTGATTTTATTCCATTTCACATTGTTATCACGGATCTTTATCACATTGAATAGTTTATTCAATAATAATGTTTATTATTAATAAGGAAACAGTTAAAAGTGAGTTTCTTTTCTTTCATAATGTGTATTTTGCATAGTGACTATGCTAAATATCCTTAATTGCCAAGTACTACTTTACTTAGCAACAATGACGAATTAATTTTTTTTGAAAGTCATCTCTTTAACAAATGAAGTTGTCGCTTTTTTATGTATATTATTACTTTGTTTAGTAGTGAAAACTTTGTCACTGATTTCTTTAATAGACTGACAATCTATAGTTTGAATGACTTGAAGCCTAGTAATTTAGAAGTGGTCTATTTCTAGAACGTGTAAATAAATCAAGACGACTTGTAATTGATTGTTTTTCTATGAGGCAAGAAAATATATAAAGCGGGTTTTCAGTTTTTGCTAATGTATTTACCAGTATAAGAAGATTTGAGCAGTCGTCTTGAATGTTTGCTTACAATTATATTCAAATTCGTTAAAACTGAAATTTGTATGAAATTTACATAGTATTGTTTGCTTGGATCTTCCCATTGATGTTTTAGGACTGCAACTGGTCAGTCTCTTATTGACACATGTACATACTGTGCGTGTTTCCTCGATATAGCCTAAATTCACAAGCATGGTAAGCAAAGATGGATGAGGGCTAGCAGTGGAATCCAGTTTGACGCGCGTTTCGTCCTATTTGAGATTCGTCAGTTGGATGTAGCTGAATTTCAAAGTTGATGTTCACTGTGGGACTGCAACCCAGTACCGTTCGCTTCAAATGCCATCACGTTATCCACTCGACCAATGAGTCCTCATAGTCACTTGCTTGTGCAATCGGGTAAAGTTGAAATGTACTTAGTATTGTTTTTTGGATCTTCTCATTGATGTTTTTAAGACTGCAACTGCGTCCTGGATTCCACTGCCAGTCACTATCCATTTTCGCTTACCATGAAATTTGTGTGGTTTAACGTTTCAGTTTTCTAATTGTGTATACATTAATGAACACAAGTAAATTGATACGTGCGGTCAGTGGTAACTTTATGTGAGATTATTTTGTGTTTTACCTATTATCTGTTATCATTTTAGTGCGATCTTATTCATATAGTTTGAAACTAGAGTATAATTATTTCATGGAGCATTGTATAATTGAGAAATAATTAACAATTTGTTAGTGCTGAGTAGTTATCGATCTCTTCAGAAGTGGGCACTGACAAGCATGTTTAGGTTTAAAATCAAATCTTTTAGATCTTTTGATTACTGAGTTGGAATTTAAAGGTGATCACATCACAGAGTGAACATCAACTCTGAGATGCAGGTACATCTAGCTGACGAGTCACAAATAGGACTAAACGCGCGTCAAACTGGATTCCACTGCTAACAACTATCCATCTTTGATCACATTATAGCTTCAAAAGCTTTTTGATTGGAATAAATTCTAATGTCAACTTAGACATCATTAATACTGATATAAATGAGATCACACTGTTGTAAAGCTTTTGATCGATCAAATATCAGGCGATAAAAAGTTCTTGGCGTATTTATTCATTTTTGAAAATATTGAGTATTTTTGAAATCTTGTATATTTTAGGTTACACAAATCATGTATTTATAGTTTACACCATGATCTGATCTTAATTAAGCAACCACTAAAAGCCAACAAACAAGTTGCGTCCGAGTATGAGATGTCTCAGTAGTGTGTACCCAAGATCTCATTGTAGATGGTAGTCGCAGCACTCAAGTGGTTGGGCGTTGCTTAAGAGTTTCATATCAGGATGAAATAAAAGTCCAATACATCCCAGTTTCTAGCGATTATCTATATGAGATCAACTTGTCATGTAAACTATAAAAAAATTCATCAACCCCTACAAACCATCATTATTCAACTGTAGTTATGTGTACTCACTCATATGCAATTTCATTCCCTGTACTCATTTAACCACATTCAGATCTCAGTCAGTAATCATCAATGTTCAATGTGGTTGTGACTTTTCGTTCTTTTTTGAGTAACAATATTTTATCTCTTACAGTATATTCACATTAGATTGAAGATTGTTCGGTTCTTTACTATTTTAATGATATTCTCAATCTACTTCATTAATATCTCATTAAAAAACTATTTTGACTGAATTCTTGATATGTATACTAATTAGTAATATTATAGTGAACGAGAACACAGTTAGGGATACAGTTTAGTAAAATCTGAGAACCATACAGTGAGGAGTCCCACAATAGGACGAAACGGCCGTCCAGTGTTTCCAGGTTTTCCATGGTGATTTAGCTTCAGTTGACTCATGATCTGAACTCTATAAAATTACTGAAATCATCACCAAACCCCCTCTGATCATACAGTGAATAATTAGTTAGTAAAATATAAATCAATGGTCTCAGACTTGATTGTTCCTTCTTTTCCATGCCAATTACTCTCTGTTTTCGTTCTCTTTCTTTTGATCTTCTTAACCTTCTTGTGCCAGACATTTCAGTTACCATCGGTGTTACATACTACTTATATCTATAAAGATCAGTAGCACATATCACAATAATAATATTTTAATTTGGTGATTTTACGTGATCTTATTAGTTTCATAGTTAATTCTGAAAGGTTGTAGAAAACATTCATCAATTTGTATGATTTGCATAGCCTGGGAGATATTTTTTGTCAAAAATACCATTTATTTCAGTCTAGATGTAGCAGGTTCAAGGTTTCACGATTTAAACTAGTGATGTTTAGTGAATGTATTCATGTGTTTAAGACTTAAACAGTGAATGCTTTCGTGATTCTTAGTTGATATTAAAACAAGATAGAATATTATTATACTCAAATGTTATTAATCTTCTTTTGCATAACGTAGAAAAATTCACTTGGTTATGAAGATTAAAAGTTGAATATTGAATATGCGGCTTTTTGGATCACAACTCTACATTAACATGTATCAAAATTATTACCTCACAAATATGTAGAGCACAAATGTACACTGTTGAGGAGTCCCATATTAGGGCGAGACGGCCGTCCAGTACTTCCAGGTTTTTCATGGTGATCTAGCTGTAGTTGACTCATGAATTCAACTTTTAAGTTACTATAATAAGTACAAAACCCATTTCTGATAAAATAGGTATACTCAACTGACATTAAAACTTGTATAGTTACACAATTTTAACCATCTTGTGTTTTTTTAGATTTTCTTTCATAGGAATTGAGATTTCTTGTAACGAAAGAATCTGAGTGAGACTATAATTTATGGACGACCTTTGAGCATCGCTAAAATAACCTTGAAAATGTCATCTACTTACTAGGGTTAAATGAGGGTTATAAATTAGTGCAAGGAACTAGGATTAGGATTTATAATTAAACTTTACGATTAGAAATTATGTCTAATTTTTTCATCACGAACTGATATCAGCTATAATGCCGCGATGGTATTTAGCCAAATCAGTAGATGAATCTCGCTCCAAAATCTGAAGCCTGCTAACTTAAATCTGATTGGTTAGTACATAAATTATAGTCTCTCAAAAATCTGTTTTAAAGCTTGGTTGTCAATGTATTCAATGATCAATTTTCCATTCCTAACCTGTTTTCTTTTTCTTTTAAGGTAGATCATGTTCAATTATTATTTAGATGGTTATTTTTATTTATCTGAAAAGGTTTCAGAATAGTTTGTTAACCAGATACATGCGGTTGTGTTCAATTATAAATTTTAATTTTCATCGAAAAATCTAAATTCCCTAAGTTTGATTACATGTTGAATAATCATGGGTTCATACTACTCAATGGTTATCGCAAAAATAATTTCTTGTCACAAAAACACTATCTTTAAAGTTATTAGTGGTTGAGTTTTCCTATTATTAATGACAGAACCGTTTAAACATCCAACAGATAAATCCTATGTATAACAGGAAACGCGAGACTGGTAGGTCCTGGGTTCAAATCCCGCGACGCGGGATAACGAATGCTCATTGATGAGAAGTCCTACAATAGGATGCAACGGCCTTTCAGTGCTTTCAGGATTTCTATGGTGGTCTAGCTTCAATTGACTCATGATCTCAACTATATAGAATTACTAAAATACCCACGAAATCCCCTTTTGATAAAGGAAACGCATCAGTTGAATTCGATTACTAATTTCAATCCAAATATTTTAAAATCTATTTTCTGATGATTAATTGTTAAGGATGAAGTTTATTACTAATAATTGGTTCCCTTCATGAAATAAAATAAAACCAAAATAACAGTTAAATTAGTTTTGTTTAAAGTTCATCTATTCCACGTTTCTTTACAAATATATCATATCAGCCAGACTTAGATTCTATCGAAACTACTCATAGTGATTTCATCAATTTGGCGATATATCACAATGAACATCCTAATCTCTTCATTATAATTGATAAATGTTCTTTTTTTCCTCATAGCTAAGTTAGGTTCCATGATGAAACTAGGCTTTCTCATTGTCACTTACACCCACTCATACACATAAATACATTTAATCTGTTTTTTGTTTCTAAAAAAATGTTTATTTCTCGTTTAAATCGACCGGTAGATAAGCAAATTAAAATCTACATTTCTATTTTAAACGAGTAATTAACATCTCCCAAGTTATCAATGTATTGATCAGTGATAATAATAATACTAATAATAGTATCAGTAATAGATTTAGGATTTCAAATGAATATCTCTTTTTTTAAAATGTAAATATAGTTATAATATTAGTGATCAGATTTATGTTATTCTACTGGGAAACAGTTTAACATGATAGTTGAATTCATGAATCGATTTAAGCTAGACCATCATTGTAAACGTGGAAGCAGTGGACGGTCGTTTCGTCACAGTATGGGGCTTTTCAGCAGTGCCTATACACGATCCTGCAAGTGAGACGCGAACCCAAAACTTTTGGTTTCGCGAGCGAACGCTTAATCTCTAGACCAGTGAACCGCATCTAACGGTGTTAATGTTTAATTTCAACTAATCCACGAAATCGCTCGAACGTTTTGTTAATAAAAAAATTACTATGGTCTCATATCACTTTGTGACTTTAGTTGATGACCAAATGAAACAATGAAGCTGTGAACGGCTTTTT